GTGGTGCATAATGGTGAGCATTTGCCATAGTTCACCATGATCCAGGCTTTATATCTTAATTAAAGTTGGTCCTGGTTTAACTCCAGGTTATAGAGGCTGTTTACAACTTTGGCTAAAAAAGATAAAGAACCAGGTAATGGTTCTTTTACCATTACCTCGTAAACCATTACCTGGTTCTGGTAATTTGACATTCTTATATCAAATGTTCTGTAGATATAAGAACATTTGCAGATTTGAGCTGGTTTTATAAGGAATACTTGCATTAAATGTCCAGAACAGATACCAAAAGCATCAGTAATATTTGTTCAAGTCTATTTTTATTGTTGCTCGATTGGAAAATATACAGTTTATTTTTTGTCATTTTACACAACATCCCATAGAAGAAAATGTATCCGTCTTGTTTTTGCAGTAGTTATATTTTTTCTACTTTAAAACCTAAAATAAAATAATATCTTTTTTTACAAGTTGTCTAATGTAGATATTTATCAAAAATAAGTAATCTTTTTTAAAAACATACAATAATAAAAGTTTTCTTAAAGATCCATTTTTGAGAACAAAACAGATCTTTGATTGTGAAGGCTGCAGAACCCTGGGCTAGAGCCACAATCGTGTTAGGAAATTGGTCAACCAAACAAATTGCAGTGCACTAGAGCTTGTTGAGCAAAGATTATATGTCCAACAGCTTTAGCAGTGCTGCGTTTGAGAACAAAATTGTCTTCTTTATCACCTAAAGGTGAGCTAGTTTTGGGCAATAAAATAACCATTGTGGCAGTCTCCCAGACTCGAGTTAGTTTTTCCTCCAAACAGTTCAATTTAAATACCACCAAAAACATTCAGTTTTATTATTTCAGAGCAACTTCCCCTATCAAAGAAGAACTTGCATCAAATTAGCTTTTCTAAAGATCTCAACCTTTTAGTTTGAGTTCTCTCCTTTAAAAAACATAAAATATTCTACATTGCTAAGAGTTTTTAGGAAAAGGTAAACAGTCGGCACTTTATTTTAGATTACAGACAAACACAACCGTATTTTACCTCATTAACCTTGTGCTTGTGGCATTTCCTGTTTGTTTTCCTTTAATTCGGCTGACATGTGGAGGGCGAATGAAAATAGGACGCTAATGCATTCTGGAGACAATTAGCAGCAGACTGAGGTCTCCTCCACAGCCACACCGAAACAGATGGTTCCACCCACACATTTGTATCAGATGAGAAAGCTGTCAGCGAGTCTTCACTTTCCTTTGAGATCATTCAGATAGAAATTCCTTTTAAGAATAATTCATTTATTTTTGTCAGTGTTACTTTCAGTTAAATTTTAAAAGATAAAATACATGGTGAAGTCAGACAACAGACTCAAATAGCAAGATTTAGAGTTTCCAAATATCAACTGGTGAAAGTGTGTTTGTCACCTTAAGGATACAACTCTGGTTGTCAACTGATTGCAGAGTCAGCATTCAAAGACCTGCCGACTGAAAGTGAGGGAATTTGTTTGAATGTGACTCGGCAATCAGTGTCAGACATATCTGATTCTGTGTTCTCTTCTTATTCCTGATTCATAACCTACTTGATGCCTCAACAGCTTCTGGAAATTACTTCCATCACGACTGGTGGGTGCAACCAATACTACATCCCACTCCAAAAAGCCTTCACCTCTCCAAGAAAACTATATAGTAGTGTCCAGATTTAACACAAATTAATACCATAGACGTCTGCCTCTACAGCTGCAGAATGAAATAAAAAAAAAAAAAAACTAACCAACAGGTAAGTCCAAAATTATTCATACCACAGGCAAATTAAGATTACAGTAATCTTTTAACTTTACCACATTGTTTCCTTTCACTCGAAGTAATATTAATCAAGTATCACAATATCAGGACGCACAATATTCATGTGGCAAAGAAAGGTTATAGAAACCTTTGTGTTTATCTGCAATTACTACAGTAGAACACATCAGCAAAGCTTCCCAAGTACTCCAGTACATGAAAAGACATTATTTTTTTTATTTTTTTTAAATGAGCAGGGTGGAGATTGCTGTTAAAATTAGGTCCCTTGCATAAAACCCCTTTAACTTGTCTTAGATCTTCCAAATTGTCCCCTAACAGATTCATGATGCCTTTAATTGCTTACTGTTGGCATCCCTTAGTTGGCATGCAACTAATTAAATTAAGTGCTATACAATACCACTGAAGAGAGATAATTGGTAACATACAGATGTGAGGCAGCTTTTATTATATTAGGATGCAAAGCTTAAAGTTGGTAAATTTCCACATTGCATATGAAGCTCAGCAGAAAAACAGAGTATCCTTTCAGTAAGTACTCTGTGGCTATCCAGAATAAACAAGCAGCTGCTGCACAAAACTGTTCAAATTGTATTTTTGACTGATAGCAGCACAAAGTTGAGTTACAGACTCAACAAAGTAAAAACACATGAATTTCAGCTTGGTCTCAGACTCAGTCAGTTAAACTGTGATAGCTGACTAATCGAAATTAGCTCATTTTTCCTTGATCACCAAATCAAATGCAGATTTATGTCAATTTTCAAATGTATATTTAGATTTTTTTTGCCCTGCTAGTGACATTTATTCATTAGTAGTTCAACAGGCAGAAAAGAGAGTCACACAACATGCTGTAAGTGGAACAGGTCGGGAATCGAATCCAGGACAGCTATGTTAAAGACTACAGGCTTACTGAAACCGAAAAACACTTTTCTGCCCTGTAAAGTTTAGTGTAGACAAAGTTTTCCCTCCTAGTAACATCAGTGGGGGATTAGCAGAGTTTTAAAGCAGCAGTAAAAGTCAACATGTCCAAACAGACAAACTCAAACAGAAACAGTAACCAAGCAGCTTTAAGAGTACAACTTTGAAAATGATTTCACTGGTACATTTCTAAACAAATGAAGAAAAAGAGTTCAAACTGGGAAACTAAAATGTTCCTGTCTTCCGAAAGATTAATTTCTCATTTGATCCATCATTAAATATGATGACAAGGATCTCCCAACATACAAGTCTTTGATAGCCATCTGTTCTTAAAAAGATTGTGTTTTAACTCTTTAAAGTTGCGTTCAAACGAAGTTACTGTGATGTTTTATTGATTACAGCCTGAATATCCAGATCCAAGATAAAGATCAAAGTCTTATTGGATCTTAAAGGACTAGTTGTTTCTCTTGAGATTGAAGGAATAGAGAGGAATACAGGATAAAGGAGAACAACAAACTGAGTGGAAGTGGGAGGAGCAGTGTGGGAGAAGATGAAGAAAGAGTGAGTAGAGAAAGAGGAGGAAATGGAGTGAATGACAACAAACAAATGTAAAAACATAGAAACATGAGAAGGGAAAAGGGTGTGGCAAAGAACTCCAGATCTTTTTCAGAGAACCCACAGCTACGCTTGTTAGAAGCCACCTGTCTGTAACTATATAACCCACAGGAACAGATGCATCTGGCATGCAACATTCCCATTTATCAACCAAAATTGATAAATGGGTATAGTAGGTTTACTGGGTATACTGGGGTTTATGTCTAATTGCTACGTGCCACAGTACTCTTGTGGTCTGAAGTCTAAATGAGAGGTCAGGAAAAGTGTTGAAGTGATTGAAGTTTTCTCTGACTGTGATCGGGCATTAAATAGGGCACCACTGGCCCTCTCAAGTGTTGCTGCATGACACTGCTGAAAGACTACAGTACTTAAATTTTTTATTTTTCTTCCAGACAGGAAAGGAAGGCAATATGGTCACATATTTCTGGCAAAATAGACTTGAAAATTCAAATGCATCGAACAATGTTTTTTCTGCGTTTAGATCCACAAAATACATAAAAATAATAACTGTTGCACCATTATTTGTCTTTTGATTTTAAATTTGCTGTTGTAAACAACTGATACTGAAATGTAGTTTTGAAAAATAATCAAACAAAATGAAGGCCAGCAGTGTCTACTCAACCTTACACATGATGCTAATAATTCTATATTAAGGAGGAACAAACTTTTCATCAAATTTCCTTCTTTCATTTCAGCCTCAAACTCAAGTTTTTTTGTATCAGAAGATGCTGAAGTGAACATTGAGAGCACTTTTGCTTTGATTAGCAGAAAAGTAATTGTTTGACTTCAAAAATATATTTAAAAGATGAAAGTCAACATAAGTCTCAGAGATATACCGTTCATATTTTTCAATTTCTAGTTTCATCTGCAATTCTGATTTCAATAGATTTATGAGCCCAACACCCACCTGAACCTTAAAAAAGGACCATCTTACAAAAGACATTGGAATTGCAGAGTGATTAGTTAATACAGTCGATCAGAATTGGTGGGAGCTCATCAGGTAGGAAAGAACCAAAAAAAAAAAAATGTATATCTGAATCAATCTCATATTTCCCCAAGGATTATCTCCAATTTTAGAAGCCATTTGTTGAAAAAGTTGACAATTTGCACTGACAAATAGCAGTTTTAAAATAGCTACTCATTATTTTTTCATTAGCAGACCTCCTGATTAATTTCCATTCATTGAAGCAGCTTCTATTCTGGAAGAAAGAAAAAAAATTAATTTGAGGGAAATGTTATCTCTTTTTAGCAACAATGTAATCCATTCTCATGAAATACCAATGACATGTTGAGATTCACCTCTAAATGAAACATCTAGGTTATCTGTTGAGTCTTTTGAAGCTGAAAGGAGGCTCAGCATCTTGCACCTAATTGGGTTTTCTTCTCCTGCAGAGCCAAAGCAACAGTGATTCATCCATGCAAAGCTCTCATGTGTTTGGTTACCTTGGTAAACCTGGGTTTACATGCTATTGAGGCAATGAGCTGCAGCCCTTCACATCCTGCCCCCCACTCAGCTCTTTCCCCTCCAGGATAATTAACAAATTAATGATGCCGCTTGCAAATCAGAGAGACAAACACAATTACTCCACCATTCCCTGCTCTGGTGCAACGCAGCCTGGAGGATCACTTTGAAATTTATTACAGGAAGATTGTGATCACAAGTCAAAAGAAGCAACAATTTTCATGTGTTACCTTCATGTCTCCAATGACAGTCTGGAAAAGCCCCCCCAGCGCGCTGCACTCCCTCTCCATCACCGTCTCCATCTTCAGCTGCGTGAACGGAAATTGCAAACAATCTCACACGCAGCTCCCGGAGTCCATTAATGACGCGGAACCAAACGAACAAATCACAGAAAAGGGTGGAACTGATAAGAAAAGGCTCAGCTCCGCGCTGCGGGGTGTCCCCGGCTGGTGATGGAGCCCTGAACGCAGACAGAAGGCGCAGCAGAGTCGGTTAGTTTCCAGTTGCAGCCGGTAACTCCCATGTCTGCAGCAGGAGGAGGAGGAAAGGCATGACGGAGGTGGGAAGTGAAGTGACAGCAGAGAGGAGCGCGACACCGCCGGAGACAGGAGCAACTTTCCACAGAGCTGCGCTGCGCCTCAGGCACCAAGACAGGGGACTGGGCACGGGAGCGCGCTTCTTCGGGTCGTGGACGCGCTGGAAGGTGGCCCCGCCTTCAAATCAGGGAGGCTTTTTTCACAATGGAGGGTGTTGTCTGTGGGACAATACTGATTTAATTACTGAACCCGACAGGCTGTGGTTATTAACACACAAAGATAATATTCAAACAAACGCATCTCAGATGTAGAAGAAGGAGGGGAAAAATCTAAAGAGCAGAACAGTCAACTAAAAAAAGATACATTTTAGTCAGAGCAGATAAGCATTTACTTACAACACACATAAAAAAAGTAAATAAAATATATTTTTGAAAGTAAATACGAAGGAGAATAATTAAGGACTGATGCTGAGGAGCTGCTCTAGGAAATGTGTTAATTATCAAACAAACAAAAACATCAGAAAGGGGAGCATGTCAGAAAACAATGCTATTTTTAAAATAGTTTATGCAAAATTTCACAACAAGAGAAATTCATAAATATTGCATATTTCTGAAATAACAAAACTTTCACTGAGAAGCGCTCACGTTCATCTTTTTGATTACGTCGCCATCTAGAGAATATTTTGCTGAACTACCTCACTGTAAGGCAATAAAAGTTTGGGGTTGAATAAATACACAGGAAGGACGAATTAAAGAAACATTTTTTAAAGGAAGAAAATTATCAGTGAGATAAACTTTATGCTAAATTTAACAGTTTTATCTGAGGACTTTGTGGAATTTAGAGTTTAATTGACATGCAGATTACCTTTATGCAGTAGATCCAACATTTCTTCTAGATTTTGCACTGATTTTACATTATTTGCCTAATCAAGTTCAGTTTTAAGGAGTTCTTCAGCAGTTTTCCTTCTTCCTTTAAGTGTCCAATTATGTGACCCAATTTCCATTTACTTGAAACAAAAACTTTGTGCAATTGACTCAGTGCCTCGACAGACAAGATAACTAAGACAGTAAACTCTAAAAATCGGGGTTGGAGAGAGTAAGGTGGACACACAACTAACAAATGGCTGGTGGAGTAAAGTATGATCATCTCCTATAAATGCCAAACAGCTTAATTTCTGTTTGACACAAAGACTCACAGATACAGACTTAACCTGAGGAGGGATGATTCCCTCAAACAATTCCATGATACCATTCAGTGCACATGATTCAGGATGAATCTAAAAATAGAAATAGAAATTACCTTCCTCCAGGATCTCTGAAGAGTTCCATAAACAGCACACACATCTTTCCATATATGGCCTTATTACTTCTAAACATACAGCTGCAGCTGCATGGAAGCACAGTTTTCTCTGCACACACTTTTCACATATGGCAACTTGTGCTTCAGCTTTGACTGTCTTTAGGCACATTCAGGCATTCTTTTCTTTTTCCACTCACTCTGTGTACACACTTCAGATTGATAAAAAGTACTAGTCCCTCTGGTAGATTATTTGACTTTTAACATAGGGAAATGTCTTAGTGTAAGTAATAATATACCAGTACTTTATCAAGACATTGATTTAAAACAAGCTCATGTCTTGCAGTTTTTTCCCCTTATTTCAAATGTATTTGCATTAGAAACTAGAAAAAAGTATGAGTTTTTTTTATAAGGCTTTGGCTTATAGAAATATGCTCCTATTGCAGTGTAGTAAAATATGAATTATGAGGCAAAAATATAACAGGTGAACTAAAACACATCAAAACTGAAAAACACTGTTTACAGATATATATCATGAACCAAAAGAAAATTGGCTATCTATAGGTGTTTTGCTTTACATTGTAGGTTTCGTTTCAGATTAAATTATGAAAATGTGAGAATTGTTTCTTAAAATCAAGACTTAAAAGGTTTGAAGTTTTTCTTACTACAGTTGCTCAAAAAAGTTTTAGAGAAATATTGCTGGTACAGTAGGATCAAAATTTGAAAAGATGTATTATTCATCTGAAGTTAAGGAGACCTTAAGTTAGAAGTTTAAGAACTTTAAAATGTTGAGTGTAAAAGGATGTGTTTAACACACTTTGAGCTGAACAGGGATCAGCTGGGGAGGCTGGCAGTGTTACAGAGTACCATCACTTACCATGCAGGCCTGCTGCTTAATGACAGGGAGCACAAAACACATGGGATGATAGTCTGTGCCCTGAAAGCAGGGTTCTGTCATTATCTGGCCTGAATAGTGGAACAATGAACTAATAACTGCTATCAGAGTGGCAGGGAGGGGGATAATGAGGGTGAAGACAAGGAACCAGCAATCAGACTCACTCATTTTACACTGCTTTTCATGTACAATGTTACTATATTTTAAATGCTCATGGTGCATGGTGAAAACATCCAACACTGAAGGGTTGAGCAGAAACTGACATACCCAACTTGCCCTTAGCATGGCTTCATCCCTTCAACACACCTAGAAGCTAATCAAAACCAGAGTGATGCAGAACACATGCTAAAAAGGTAAGCCACATTAGGTGTGTTTGAATAAAATGTTACCTGTGCCAAGATGAACACTAAAGGTAGCACTATCCTGCATTTAGAGCCAATAACTGGTTGCAAGACCTACATGTTGCCCCTCCCCTATTGCCCAGTCATGCATTTGCCTTAGCTTACATGTAGTTCTAGAGCAGGTCTCAACCTTAAAGGACTAGCTACAGAAAGTTTCATCCATATCACCAGCAGTTGCACCCAGTTGGTAAAACATGTCAGTACCTCTAATATATTGAGGCTTAGACTTCTGTGGCAACTCAAATTAAATAGTTTCAAGTAGTTTATTTCAGTATGAATAACATGGCTTACAATTAAGATCTCAGAGCCCGTTTCTGTTTGACAGTTGTAGACAATTTCCACATTAACTGGTCTCGAGTTTCTTGACCCAGGCTTCATTTGTAGATTTGCACTGTCATCTTGAAAAAGATCCTTGTTCTGAGAAACACTGGAGACCAGAGAGCCCAGCAACCTTGCCTGCTGTTGTGTGGTATGACAGCCTGATTGCATCTCTTTAGGATACTGGTCTAGAGCTCCTGTCGTTAGCACCAATTCGTTGGTTGGAGTCCGAGGAAGGCACACTATCCCACACACTTCTGGTTTGCAGTACTGCGGGTGCTGTAAAAGCAAAGGACTTTTGGTGTTGCTGGGCAGTTGACTCTGGAGCATATACACTAGAAGTATAGATGCCCAATTGGCCAGGATTGGTTTTCAGTATAGCAGGCACCGGCAAAGAATGTTGATGTTGTCTAACAGTGAATTCGGACCTTGTGCTTGGAAAATTGACATTGTGCCACATGCCTGTTTTGGTCTGGAGTACGGCAGGTGCAGAGAATGCAGGATGTTGATTGGGTGGTCGGGACGCAGGTTGTGGACCCTTTGCACTCGGAAGCTTAACAGTGTCCCACGTGCCCACGTTGGTTTGGAGTACAGCAGGTGCAGAGAACGCAGGATGTTGATTGGGTGGTTGGGAAGCAGATTCTGGAGTCAACTGTATGCCAGTGCCAGGTGATCTGGGCTGCAGCTGAGCTGGTGCATGAATCTCAATTGCACCACTGGAGACAACACTGGAGCCATAGTGGCTCACCCCTTGAAATGAAGGGTCCTTCATTCCTGGATCCCTATGTAGCAGGCCACCTTGTGGCTGTTGCTGCCAAGTTGGAGCTGAGGCAGCCCAGTAGATAGATGCACTTCCTGGTTGACTGTAACTACTTACTTGCCTGCCATAACCACGTTGACCTTGCCTAGGAACTGAACCCCATGGTTTGGACGCCTCAGTGGATAAATCTCCAAAGAAAGTTGAGCTAGACACAGAACGTCTTGGCAGTAGAGAGCCTTCATAACTGGATGGGACAGGTCGGTAAGAGTGGCGCAGAATCTCAGCTCGAGTTGAAGGGCCAAGATTTCTACTTGCATATCTTAAGATATTTCCTAAAGGAAAAACAAAAATAAAGCCATTTGTCAGAGGTAGTTATGAGACAACACTTTGTGAGTTCAATAAATCCATACCTGTTGCAAGCTGTTCAAAGGTTATCAGAGAGAGCAATAGAATGCTGAAAGAGACCAGTTAATCAGAATTACCATGATTTCATTTAACATTGTAACTTAATGCAGCAGAATTTTGAAGCGTGGCCAAACCTCAAATGTAATCCAAAAGCCATTTCTTTGTTCAGAAAACCTGAAGCAAGACAGTCTGTAAAATGTTTGCTGTACAGACTGTTAAGAAAAGAAGTCTTAGCTTCATACATACACCACCCCCAATGGTACTTTAAAAGGATTTCAGACCTCAGCCAGCCATGTGTCTCACTGATTAATAATTGGAAGCAGCTTGGAGTCTTTTTTGGGAACATGGCTGATTTTTTTGTGAGGGGGAGGATGTCACTTAGCTTCATTCCTCACAGCTGTGAACCACCCAATTAGCTGCCACAGTCAACAATGAGATTTTCCTCCTCTGATGGACTGGCAACCTGTGCAGGATTTATCCTGTACCCTTGCTCAATGTCCATTGGAGATATTAACTGGCTCCCCTGCAGCCTCTCAAATGTAAGTCTGTATAGATGGTAATTGGATAGAGGGACACTTTCCCCCAAATTTAAATGACAAACAATGAATAAATACAACACAATCATATTTTCTTTCATTTCCTTTTTCTACATGCAGCCAAATAAGTATTTATATTTTATACCACTGTATTGTGTTTATTAAGTTGTTGGCAGGACATGGTGCCTGTTGTAGAAATATAAGAATATTTAGCTCTATAAGGTGTCTGTACATATACCTTATATATCATAAACACAGTCTGTGGAAGCAGCAACTTCATATTTCAACTTGATATAGGCAATGCAACATCCATACCAACTTATATTACGATGAATAACTGAATTTGACAGTGTTGGATTAGAATTAGATGTGAATTGGAATGGATTTAACCCTAACTTTACTTTATGGGTGGATTTTATTTGATTGTATGTGAATGATCTACACTTTACTTTCAATTCTGTGAAAGTTAGCTTATGCTCAATAAATAGCATAAGCTGGATATTAGCACAACCAAAGTACTAATATCCATAATGATATTAGCGGTGAACGATTCCCACGTCTCACTTAAGCTAAAAGTTGTTGGATTGGATGTAAAAATATTTTCCTTCAAGTGTTTTGCTCCCAAGTCCTCTAAATGTTGCAAAATAATTAAAAAGGTTGAATCATTATAGCTAATATAATATTTCCTGTTCACATTGCAGCAATCAAATCCTTTGCTAACTAGCTTTGGGCATTTATTCACAGATATTTGGATTGTTTTTCTTTGGTGAGAAGATGTAAAAGTTTAAAAGAAATCTTTACGATGAGCCTATTTTGCTCCCTCCAGAGTTTCTCTACACTCAAAATGTTATTTTACTTCCTGTCAGAAAATAATATGAAGTATAAAAACTACTTAAGCCTAAATTGGGGGTATGGAAAATTTGTGGCATAAATTTAAGTGGAGCTGCTATTTGACCATCAGTGGCATATAAATCAGTGTTTCTAACGGGGGTAGTATGGGACAAATGCAGACAATTTATAAAGCAAGCCCCCTCATATTTATTAATTCAGGGATTTATTTATTTTTAAAATGTGCACTTCATTATATATTAAAATAGTAGTAATAATAATAAAACTGTTCCTATTGTCAGCCTTTGATTTCTATTTTACCTGTAACTAGTCTTCTTGCAAGTAATCATTGAACCTACTCAGAAAATCATACACAGCTGACAGTTTTATTTAATATATTCAATCATCACTGCTTTGACAAGTTTCACCATGTGATCATACATATATTAGTTCACATCACATCACAAAGATTACATAATTCAGATAAGTTACTTAAAATTGTCTACCTTCTTCTCCCTGTAAGGTAAAGTATTTATGTAGGTTTTTTTGACAGAAATAAATAGTTTTAATACAGCCAAGTAGTTTAATACACCAAAAATGCTTTAAAGTATCAAAAAAATGGTCAAAGTAATAATCGGATAGAAATGGAGAGTCTTAAGGTGAATAGAAAGACAGCACAGAGGAATTTGTGATAAAAAACGACTATGATGAAGTGTTAACTGAGGGCTAATGAAGGGTTAACTGAGTTTGAGGCCAAGGCAGAGAGCAAGCTCGTTCTTCTGGATTTTTCCGTCTCTGTTGATGTCACAGTGACCCATCAGGGTTTTCCTGAACTTGTCCAGTTCCATCCCGCTGATACTGGGCTGCAGAAAGGTTTGAGAGAGCTGGTCTTAGAAGAAATATCAGAGGTCACAGTGTTTCTGTCCATCCATCCAAATATTGTTTCAAAAATTTATTGCATACTGTTGGAATAACATATATTCAACTAGAAAATTGTGTAGCTCAAGTTAGAATTTGACACAGACATACACACATACATACACACAGACTTAAGAAAAATGAACCAAAATATATTTTTGGGCTAGTGGAGAGGAAGCTGGAGTACCCTGAGAGAAACCCCTCATGCAAAGGGAGTGTGTGCAAAGATCATACAGATAGGCCTGAATTTGAACCAAAGACCATGTTGAATAAGGTCAACAATGCAAACAACTGAGTCATCATGCAACCCAATATAAATATGACTGCAGACACTTTAATCTATTCTTTTAGAATAAAAAAATAATCAGTAAATTTGTGATTTTTTTCTACCTTCACCAGCTCCATCATGTCCTTGACAAATCCATCAACTTCAGGCCCCTCCAGTGCACCTGTCTTACTCTACACACAAAACACACTTATACAGGTATAAAAGTCACATCACCATAACTTTAACTTTTACTTTATTTTACTGTAAAAATAGAAGATCTTAATATAAGAACAATATCTAAAGAGCACAATAAGTATTTTGTGGTGCAAAATACTTATATCATTATGAAACTTTTAATTTCACAAAAAATTATCTCTGGCTTTATATTATTTGTAAAAGAAAATCAGGTTCAATTAGTTGTTACAAATGTGGTGAAAGAGCAGAGAAGAGAAAGAATGAAACCAAAGAAATCTGAACTTACAACATCATAATGAGCAAAAATCTTCTCAAAGTCCCTCTTTCTGTCCTCGAGACTGCAAGCCTGAAACAGTCAGATTAGATTTAAAGTTTATGAGGTGCAGAAGGATGCTACAAAGTTAATTTCAGAACATAAAAAGGTGTCTAGAAAATTTGGGTTTAAAGTTGAACTCACGTCTGTCTTAAACTTCAGTAAAAAGTTTTCATTCAGTGCCAAAATTCTAAGAAAAACAGAAAAATAGTGAAAATGCGAAACAAAAAATTCTAATACATTCTGACATTTATATTGCATTTTATTAGTTGCTTCTTTTCAGCAAAAAATATTAATCAAGAATTTAGCTCACAGTATCTTGTTTTAAATGTTTTGTTTAAATCTACAAAGCACACCGCTTTGTAGATTTGTAATTTCACATTTACATCACAAATGTGATGTTTACAAATCACATTTGTAATGTGATTTGTAAACATACAAATCACAGACTTTATAGACATGTGACAAAGTCAAGATAGCAATTGATGAATTAAGTGAAATACAGTTATCAAGTTTTAGGTCTTTATACAATTAGCAGAATTGGCCCTAAATTAGCAAACTTTGCAGAAACATGGGGCTCCATAAGCGCTTGAAATGACCCAGGACATGATTTCAAAGAGACCACTCATACACCCACAGAATAAAAACTAAACAAATGTGTGCTCGATTGATTATTTCTTAGTTGTGACAATAGTTGATGCCAACAAATCTTATAGAGCTGGAAAGCCTATTTATTTTTGCTTTAATGGTGCCACATCCGCCAGAAAAATCCATTTGTGGGATCAGCAGCATCCTGCTTTTCTGCATGTTCACCCAAGAAAACCTGTGGAATTGCCTGAGCGTTGTGACTGTTTGGGGTTCACTATTGAGGCCCACATTTATCAAAACATCAATCAAACAGCTCAATAAGCGACGCCAAGCAGGAGTAATCAGCAGAATGAGCTGCTTGCCGTTTTTTGCTGGTTTTTCAGAGCAGTGGTACCTGGCCATGTCGTTCAGATCCAGTCTGCCGTCCCTGTTCTTGTCAAACATCTTCATCTACATAAAAGACAAAATAAAGGCAATAAGGAGTGAAAAAGATATTTTAGCAACTTGGTCTCAATATGATGCCCTCTTACCATGGTTTCAGTATACTCCTCCAGCTTCTGGGGTGTGATGGACTTCCTGTGCTGGAGGAACAGGTCCTGCAGGAAGCCCTGTGGAGAGGCAAGAGTTTATAAGCAACACGCATAATTTGATGTAAGAATCTTCAGGCACTTCGTCCTCTATTTCTTCTGAATATTATTTTTTTTTAGTTTCAAATACTCTTAAAAAGAAAAATATATTCAAATTTATATCTGGAGACACATTACCTTGAGCTCATTGGCTGAAATGTAACCACTGCTATCTGTGTCATAATTTCTCCAAATCTGTAATGAAAGAAGGCAGATAAATAGTGAATGCTTGAAAATAATAGTTTGTTGACTCCGCAGTATTTTGTTTCACAATGAATGCATTTACAATCTCAGCTGATTTTTTCCACTTACCCTCATAAACTCCACACTGTTGTCCAACGGAGTTTCTCTGTGAAACAACAGCAGGAAATTCTCCTCCACTGGAAGCATCATGGCAGCCAGCTAGAAACAGCCATTAGAGTTTATGTGGAAAACGTTTCACTTTCAGTAAAGACACAGTTATTTACAAAGTGATCCATCTTTATTAACTTCTCTGTTTTGCTTACAATGTTATTCAGAAGACAATCATAATTAGAGGAAAAAAATAAATCTGCCAGGCTGATTTAAGTTCTGTGCAGTCACCAGAAATTTAAAGTCAAGCATATGAGAATTTTTTCTTCTCCTGTTGGACAGAATAAATAAATCTAAGCAAATTTTTCCATTAGCGCTTCAGCTGTTCAGACTTACCTCCTCAATCTGCACATTTCTGTCTGGAGCGGAGTCGTATGGAGACGCAAATCTTTCCCTCATTCTTCTCACTTTGTCTTCTGTTATCTCCTCCATCTGAAAACAACATTTTATGTTGTGGTTTTATACCAATTTGCTTTGCGAAACAAATGAAAAACAAAAACAAATGGCAGCAAATCCATATTTAGACTCTTTTGAAATAAAATCAGAGATTATTCTTAATTTGGACCTCAAAGTAAATTCTCACCTTCATTCCAAGTTTGTGCAACATATGCTTGAAAAAGTCCTCCATCTTCTTTCCTTCAACGTAGCCTTTGTCTGAGGGTATTAAAAAATGTTTCCATATTTTACTGAAAATCTTCCATTTAAAAACTGAATAAAACTACAAAACTGCTCAATAGTTTTTCATTGATACATGTGAATTTTTGTCTTTAAAAATATAACTGAAAAAGGTGAATGAAGTGATAACTTGGATAAAACTTTATATATAATTAAAAAATAATCTGAGACTTAAAGAAGAATTCCTTTCTCCTTTAAGTCTTTTAATTATATCAGAATAATTAAGGTGATCCTCCTACAGATAACATCTAAATAATCTTCATTCATGACAGAATTTCATGCAAGTAATCTACTGTTTGGAAATAAATTCAGGTTTTGACCTTGAGTAGAGATATTATTTTCAAAAAAATGAATCAGAAAATAATACAAAGTTTAATCAATCATTGTATTTGCCAAAGAAAATAAAAATAAAAGCTGAATCTATTTAATAACTGGTTTAATTTAGAAAGGATATATTGGTACCATCTTTATCGAAATGTTGCCAAATCTGTAAGAAACGAGCAGCATCAAGTCTGTCCAGTGCACTGTCCATGGTTCTGGTGATCCGTACAAAAGCCAAGTTTAAGACAAAAAAACAGAAACAAAACTGCAACAGTAAAATAATTCTCTAGATTTGCAGAGAAAATAAATATTCCACTGAAGTAAAATCAGACTTTTCCCTCTGGTGTATTGTGATATCAGTAAAAAAAAAAAAAAAAACGGAACAAAAGAGAGGTTGAGCCTTTTATATGTGAGAGGAGGAGGAACAAATAACAGAGGCTGCATAGAGAGAGGGAGTGGGGCGTGTGACCAATAACTCATTTTATTGATATAAACAAAATAGCTTTTTGTCACATTCCCAAGCTAACATAACCATTTACATAGGCAATAAAATCAATTTAAAATGAAATATTTCTTTTGAAAAGGAAGCATAACATAATATTTTCCCAGTAAAATGAAGACCAACACCAAGTCCTATCAAACAAGATAACAAAATTTCTTTATGATAAAAATATCTATTCACTAAACAGAAACCCAAAACAATACATATTTACATAGCTGTATAGTACATACATAAGTGCAGCACTACATCATTAGGATGTAAGCATATAACAAAAAATGTTATGCGAAGGTATAGCAGCAGTGTGGATAAAAAAAACATGTCACGTTTTTTTCATAGGAAACATCTGTGATGTTATCCCAGCAGGAGAGCAAATGTGTGGTAGTGACAAACAAAAAAATTGTTGCAGAGTGCACTTTAAAATGTTTTCATTCCCCAAAGAAAACCCTAATATTTTCAACCAGACAATAAAAGTCTCTTTTCTTGAACTAAAAAAAAAAAAAAAAAAAAAAAAAACATACCAAAGCCAAAAGAAAGATATTGTTTTGGTTTCTACAAGCACAAAATAATAATAATGAAAAACAATAAAAAAAAATAAAAAAAAACCTAGGAAATGAACTGATTAATGTACCAATACACTTTTATTAAATCTGAATAAAATATATAATACAGAAATAATCAGAGAAATTTCTTTCTGTAATAAATCTGATAAATCTGAAGGTAAAATGATGCAACAGTAGTCAAGTTAGCATTGTAAAGTATACTTCAAATGACAGAAATATAAACTGTTGACTTAAGAAAAACTTTGTAACAAAACCTTTCAATTTTCCCCCATTCATGATGATTTTTAGCAGAATTACAAAAGCTCAATACTGCTTTTATATACACCCATTTTTATGTACAAAATATATTGTATATGTTGTATTTTCCCATGTGTCGGAATAAATGAGCTTTCCATAATAAAGCAATGTTTATATCGGCAGTAGTAACATATCTATACCTATTATAGCTCTTAGATGTGAAACAACAGAAAATGTATGAGATTGAAGAAACATTTTGGACTCTTCTTTGCCATGTGCTGTTAGAAAGCTTCTGAAAGAAGCACAAATTAAATCTTTCCACACACAGACTGATTCCCCTTGAAAGTTTGTTTTGTTCTGAAGGTATACTGGGATGAGATTTAAAAGATGAGGAACGTCTTGCTGGAGTCACATTGAAGGAGTGTCGTCACCGGACTCGTCCTCAGATTTGCTATTAGATTTGAGGTCAGAGCTCAAAGTTGAAATCTCACTGCCAGCTGGACTGAGATCCATGTCTGTCTGAGACGGAAGCCTCACTAGAATGATAAAAAAATTAAATTAGGACATGGAATAGACAAAAAAGATCTAAAAACATATCCTCTCGGTGATACGCAATCTCTGTGCTTCACCATAACTATTATTTTGTTGTGATGTTTTCTAAAGTTTCAATTGCTTTCCTTTAATCTTTAATGTAATACTTTTTTTTGGCTAATGAATTGTTTTACATGTCGGATGCTAACAATAATTACATATTCATAGTGTTAATAATTACGATACATCAGTAAAATTGGACATGAAATAATACATAGGGTAAATGCTCAAACCGTAGCCAGGGAGGGACTTTGCACGTTCGCGTTCTTCCTCGTTGCCAGGCGGACTGGACGAGCTCTTCAGAGATGACCATTGTCGGCCGCTGATGCCGGAGTCTGCACCTGTGACGTTGGGCTGCTCGAAAGCATCACCACCTGCAGGAAACTCAGCTACACGAGGAAGAGAACATAAACCTGGGTTCAGAAATATTTCAACTTATTAATGTTCTTTATTTTTAAGCTCTGTTTAATTAATTAGTCTTAAAAATTACACATTCACGTAAAGAGATAAAAAATGGGTATAGTAAATGCGTCTTCATTATTTAAATGTTTAAAATTTTATATGCAGCACCCTTGAATAAATAACCCCAAGACGCCATAAAAAATGGTTAAATTCTCTTTTCTTTCCTGTCTCTTTGATTTTAAAATCACATCTTTTCACACAACAATTAAGAGCAACAACTTCTGATTACAGAGGAGGGGTTCCTGTAAGTGTTAATTACAGAAGTGAAGCATCAAACTACGAAATCACAGATGCACGCAGACATCTGGACGTGCCAAGTTACAGGCTGGAGCCGAGAGCATCTGCTCTGGGTTTTTTAATGTGACGGACTTTTGCTTCTTGGCGGCGTCATGGCCTCCAAAGCCTTCATTAAACATCTGGTCACCTGTTAAATTAACTGTTGTGTTTTTAGCTGCTCTTTTCCACTCAGTATTTTATGCTTTCAGTGGTGCTGAAGATTTATCTTTACATTAGCATTTTTAGGATTTTAATACAGCTGGTTTGAATGTTTTGCCAAGTTAATATTATGCAGATATTAGACTGTGGCATCAGCTTCTATTGAGACAACTGGGTTATTATTGGATGGTAGACAGAGATAGTAACCCTCTAGTGGAGACAAAAGTCCTGCAGAGCTGCTGCTTGTGCTCTCTCCGTCTTGCTCCAATGACGCCCTCTTCAGACGGGGAGCAGGAAGTGGTGCTTTGGGAGACACACTGCCAGGGGCAGACTCTTCTGAATCATCTGGGAGACAAAAGATACCAGTAAAATAAGAGAAAAAAAATTGAAAAACATGAACTTTTGTTTTAAGATGCATATTTCCAGCAGAGAACTAAAAAAATGTTTGTAGGTTTTAGTTGTTAGACTTGTCTTATCTTACCGATGACAGAGATGCTGCATGGCCTGGGACTGGTTGGACTGAGCTGCCCAAATGTGCGAGCAACCAGTGGTGCTTTAGCAGTCTGGGCTGGGGCTGGTTTGGGGATGGTATTTGGTGGTTTGGACCTGGGAATTGGCTCAGGTTTTGAGTCTTCAGGGTCTGTGGAAACCGCAGGATGTACATCTAACTTCGCTGGAGGGAAAAAAAAATGACACAGAAATGTGTCATAATAGGAGACTGTGTGGTAGTTTTGTGAAGCATAGACATGATGAATATCAAAAATGGACATTACAACTAAAAGTAAAATCTAAATTAAAAATAAACATGTAAATACATATATGTATACATATATAAATATTTAGAAAGTGGAAAAAAAAATCACAAACAAAAACTACATTAAATAAAACTTTAGACTGATTTCTGCTTTTGTCGTCACCTTGAATATAGACTTGTTCTATTAAGTAACGTAAAATATTGAATTATGATTTAGCATTTGCTAAAACAATGTTTTCTTTACAGCAGTGTTTTTTTTCTATTTGTGTCTATTTTGAGATTGCAGTTTTTTGAAGGGTTGACAGCATTCACAAGCACTGTTCACTTCAGGATTTTAGAAATGTTCTGTATCTTTTCTTTTTATACATTTTTAACTTTAAAGGGAAAGTTGATTAAGTAAAATATTTTAGTATTTTAGAACTTATTGTGAAATGTTCGATGAAAGGCGATATCATATCTTATCTTATTACTTAATTTAAAATATATTTTTATTCCGGGATCTGCAGTTAGCACAGGTATAAGCACACTTACATTTGTCTGAGTCCACTTTGTCCAGGACTGGCGATGAATCGGACTGAAAAAAAAAAAAATAAAAATTCCACATTTTTCTGTCATATATCCACATAGGTAAGTATGTTTATTGGTGCTAATGACTGCTTGAACTAAAGTAAATATTGTACAACCTCTTGATTTGACCAACCTTCTTTTCAGCCATTTTGTCTTGTCTTGTTTTTTGTTGTCTGGCCTTCATCTCAGCCAGCAGATCCTTTCCCATCATAGGAACACCAATATGGCGATGTATGTGTGGGTTCTCCTTCTTCTCTATATTCTCCTTCTTTGGAGGACTTTCCTTCTTCTCCAGGTTTTCCATGTCTTCCACCTTCCTGGTTTCTTTTTCCTCCCCTGCAGGTTTAGTGGAAGTAGGAGGCACCTCCATCTCAGAATCTGTGTGGTTTGCAGACTGTGCCCCATGGATCTCCTGATGAGGCTCCACTACAGAGGTTGGACTTTTCAGAGGTGGTATAGGAGAGGTAGGAGGGGCCTCCTCAGTGACTGGGCTTGTGGTGGAGGTGTTGGTGGCGTTAGCGTGTACAAGGGATGGCGGTGTGATGGCGGGAGCTCCATGGCTCTTCTCAGACCGAGACGTTCGAGATTTAATGAGGTTAAAGAAGCCGCTCTTCCTGGAGTCACGTTTTTTATCTGATGCTTCTGGTGTTGGTGTTGATGGACTTCTTATGGAGGGAAGTCTGGAGAATATTAAAAAATAAAGGCACACAAATGTAAAATGATCTTAAAACTTCACCTAATGTTGTGATTTTTGAGGTTATGAGATAGCATTTGCTCATTCGTTACTTTTTAGGGAAAAACAACCAAATCCAGACCTTGTCTATACTTTGTTCCTCAATTTCTTTGTTCAAGAACATAGAAACTAGGAACATTGTAAAGAGGTCATGCCACCATTTTTCTTTACACAAGAACAATAAATCAATTTCTTTGCTGACCTAAAGCTGAGTTTGGCAACTCTCTTGGAGAAGAAGTCATCCAGACCCTCATCCAGTTTTTCCATCACGTTATTCTGCTCTGAATCATGAGGCACTGAGCTTCCAGTGGCTTGACGCTAACACAGAGACAGAAGACAAAAAAAAATTTAAAAAGTGCAACAATCGAAGCACATTTCCCAAAAACTACAGCAAAAAAAAATATGAAAAGAAGAGACAAAGTCAAAGCATATGAAATATTTTTGTTATAACTATGTTATAATTTTCTTAATACTGAAAAGAAAGAAATATTGAAAAACCAGAACCATATCTTATTGATCTTCTTACTGGGGTTCTGCTGGGTTTTGTTCTCTTTTTCAGTTTCGGTCGGGATTTGGTGCAACTTTCCAGAGTTTTGTGCTCCAGCTGTGGCAGCTCTCCTAAACACACAGACTTCCCAACTGATGGAGTGGGAGGGGGAGGCAGATCTTCAGAATATGACATCCTATCTGATACTTGTGGGGGAGGAGAAGGAAGAGGAGGATCCTCAACGTGGATTGGAACCTCCTCCAGAGCTTTGTCCAGATCAAACTCCAACTCTGTTGGAGAGAGAAGGTATAGTGACTCACCATTGCAAAGTAATGCAATGGCTAGTCACTAGAATTAAACCCATCATATTAATTTTGCAAATATTATACATAAATTTTAAAACTATAAAGAGACAGGCTGTCCTACAAGAGACAGGCTGTCCTACAATTTCTATTGTTTGTTTCTTCACAATCATTATTATGCATTCTAAACTTTTAAGCTGTTTTTCTAATGCTCTATTTGTCTCATGACTTCTGTGAATTTTTTAAAGACACTCTGGAAGAATTTCCCATGACTTTTAATATTTTTTTAAATAGCTTGTAAAGCATCCAGCACGATACAGATCTCTTACCAAATGCCACAGAAACAGGCCTCAACATTCTGACAAGAATACTCTTCCTTTTGGATTTAGGTGTCATCTGTTGAGAAAAGACATTTTCATTTTCTGTTTTCACAATTTTTTCTTCAATTTCTCTTAAAGTACATTTATATTCCCACCATGCATGACTCCTCATCAGTCAGTCCATGTTTCTTGTCTTGATCTAGTTTCTGATCATGGCCTTGGTTCTCTGGATGTAGAACAGTTTCATCCATGACTTCTGTCTCTGAATGGGGTTCCTGATGTAGCAATGTATGGTCCTTTCTGATCAGGTGGTCGGCCTGGAGGCAGATGGAACAAAAGGAAAGATGGTCAATGAGTCGGAGGATGAGGAATCTGAATATCTGACAAAGAGGAGGTGACACTTACCAGTGTATGTTGGGATCTTGATAGAGACTCCAGGATCTCATCAACAATGCGATCAGACAGAATGGACGCCATGCCGAGTTTCACTTCACTGTTCCACACAGAAATAATAAGGCCAGTGTCAATGAAAGTGAAAGCAGCTGAAAGAATATTGATCCAACAAAGAATAAACATTTTAGCAAAGAAAATATTATTGTGATGCTTGATTAAAACTCTAGTAGACTCAGATAAACGTAAGTGTGTTTATTTGTGTGCTGTCTGAGGACCAGACAAAGAGCTGAAGTATTGGCTTCAAAATTACAGGATACATTTCTTGCAAATTAACTGGCTGTAATTTGAAATTCCACAACTGATGCAAAAATGTAAATAATGAGATTGTACAGAAGGTTGTTTCATAAAATGCCACACTATTTATCAAAGTTGCAAGAGGTGGCGAAACATTACAAATACATTTTTGATGCTATGATCTGCACTGTGATCTCCTAATAAAGTTAATCTGATTAGCAGGCAGGCAGGATGCAGAGCAAACCTGATTTTGTTGATGATGTCCACACCAGACTGCTCCAGAAGGGTGTTTGTGACAAAGCTGCAAGGAATGGTCATCCTCCCTGTAGCAGCTTTCAGCAGCTCCTGACGAAGGCCGCTCCTCTTCATCACATGAGGACAAAGGCCTTCAGCAGCATCAACCATAGACACCAGCATGGTCTGGAATAGTGAATGTCATTTGAATCCTGACTCTAAAACTTTTACAGATTGCATTGTCAATGCTGGTGGAGTTGATGCTAAGATACCTGCAGTTGCTCGTCCATTACGCTTGCCACTTCTCCAGCCATTGACTCCAACTTGTCCTGAATGGCTGCAACAAATGCAACTCTGGACCCCCCACTCTTTAAGTGGTACAAGTTGGGGAGCAGCTGGAACAAAATGCAAGCAGAAAAAGAAATCTACCCATATTCCGCTTCTTTATTTGAATTTATTAATGCAGTGCATCTGTTGGTGATCTGTGTTTTCTTACAGTTTTGGAGTTCTTTGCATCTTTTATGAGGTTCTCTGCCAGCTTCATGTCATCTTGAACAGAGTTGGCCTCTGAGAACTTCAGAGAGTTAATGTGATCCTGGACTCTCACACACATCATGTCCATCATCTGAATTGTAAACAAGTTTGAAGGTTAAGAAGAATTTCTTAAAACGGATGAAAGAACTGTTCAAATAGTTTATCTGTATCGCTGCGCCAACCTGCTGTGTGGTGGTGGTGACTATTCCCTGCTGCAGCCTGTATGCCTGCTCCTGGAGGTATTTACGCGTCTCGTGGTTTCTCAGCAGGTACTGCTCCATCTGCAGGATTCAAAGAAAAAAGAGCAACCTTTAGATTTTAAAACTATACAAAACATAAGAGATAAATGAGCAGGAACCTTTAGTAAAGCGTCCTCCGTCTTATCTGGGTTGGCTTTCAGTGCCTGAGCTGCATCCATGATGGGAACAGGCATGAATCGAATTGTGTAGTTTCTAATTTTAAAGAGAACATAAGATTAATAGCAAGAAGAATCTTAAAACCTGGAAATGTAATAATGTTATTCTTACTTTTCCAATGCTGCAGCTACATCCTGTAAACCCTGGGGACTGACATTATTTCTGTCCCACACTAAGGTCCTGGAGAGCCACAAAAATAAAAGAGACAAAACTGAGCCCAAAAAAATGTTCTGTGATCAATGGATGTTGAAATTAATAAAAATAAATTTATTCTCCTTTGAAACCCCTTTCACTAATTTTAACAGACACATACAGTTCCTGATTTTTAAAGATTCACATTGAAACATGATTTTACAAGAAAATGAGTTTAGAAAATATGATTAGGATTCATACTCACCTCAGCTTTGTGTTGATTTGGAGGGCTTTGGCTAGTATTTTGGCCCCCATGTCTCCCATGGAGTTTCCACTGATGTCCAGCTTGATCAGAGAGGTGTTGCTGCCCAGAGCGTTAAGGACGATGGAGAGGTCGGCTTTCAGCTTGGAATCAGTCAGGGACAGTGAAGTCAAAGGCTATAAAAAAAAAATAATAATAATAATTGGTAAAACAAATGATAACGCTACAAAAATAAGTTCAACCAATCTAAAATTGTCACCATGAGGGTAAAATGAAAAGCTACAATGTATCACTCACTGATTCTTCTTCTTGAATCATATGGACCAGGTTATCCAATACTTGGGCAACATTTCTGTGGTAAAAGTATAAAAACAATTATCTAAAGTCAAGATTGTGAAAAGCTAATCCTTGGCTGCTATAAAGTAATTGTTTTTTTTTTGTGGCCACTTACTTGGATTTGATATTGTTAAAGTTTTTGCCCAACGAAAGGTGCCTGATGGAGCGGTTTTTGGCCAACCACACAAGAAGGGTGGTGAGATCCATGTCCAAACCTAAACCGGACAAACAAAGGATGTGCTTCTGCAGATTTTGGAAATTCGCAGAAGCACAAATCCAAAATGTGAGAGTGAAAGCTGAAATGTTCTTACTGTTGTCTGAAATATCCAGACTGGAAATGTTTGGGATCTCAGCGATGCAACCCTCCAAAATCTGTGAGCCTCCCGAACGAAGCTGCAGGGAAATTTTTGAATTAATTTATAGTATTTAAAGATAGGCTGCTAAAACGTGCTGAGGTCCGTGGTGGACTTACATCACAGCTGCTGAGATCCAGAGAAACATCACTGAGGTTTGGATTACAACCAAGGCCCAACAACAACGATCTACCAACAACATTAATTAGTAATGCCAGTGTGATACAGAATTAATTTGCAAAGATTATGATGACCCCTTTTTCTACATCCATGTTTTTAATTATTACTGCAAGAATTTTTTTTTTTTTTTTTCATTTCAAAGAACGGTTTGGAGTACCTCAAAAAGCTGCATTTGTCATAGTAAAATTTTTAAATTAAACCCTTCTAAGGTTTGATTATGGTTTTTAAGCACTTTTCTTACCCAAATTGCATGTTGTGAAATAACTTCCTCCTTTGTGTGCAGAGAAAGGAGGAAGTAAATTTAAATCCCACAAAATCAAAAGTTTCTGAACTGCTTTTGTTGCCATTTTTTTGATGCAATCAGATAAAAATTGTGCAATTTAAACTAAACTAAATGCTACTAAAGAATAGTATTTGGATAATTAATATTGAAGCAAATGAAAGCATCCTCTAAATTAGTTTTCTACAGCTGAACCACTTACACTGAAACCGACTTTAAACTACTTTTGTCATTTGGTTGGTAGAAACAGATTGAGATAAGAAAATGGGAAAAAAAAATCTTAAAAGCTGCATTTTTTTTTTACCAGTAGCTGAAAACTAAATGTTTATTCCCAAAAAGAGTGCTATGTTAGTCATAAATAAACATGACATTTCTTTCCAATTAAAGATGCAAATCTGATCAAACCTTTTGCTATTATAAAATGACAGCACTCTCAAGACAGAAACTCATTCTGTGTCCTACTGACTGCTTTAATTTAGTTCATAAAAAATGTTGACATTTGGATAAAAAATGTTGCCCACTCCTGCTTATGCACATCTTTCAAAGCACTTCAACCATTCTTCTAAGTAAGACCCACTGACATCATATACTTCCTACAAATTGGTGCAACATCAGCTTAGCATGAAAAAGTTTAAACCAGTTTAAGCCATTCTTACTTCAGAGCCTCCAGTGGCAGTTTGGTTCCTGATAGATTAACGGACGTCAGAGCCTGAGCACTGCTGAAAAACTGCTTGAAGGATGGAGGGATTTCTTTGCACTTCCTGTAGGAGTGTTACAAAATAATTATTTTTCTTTCTATCAAAGGTGTTAGATATACGGAAAATTCTGAGTATGTGCTCTGTTTAATAACAGGAAAGCATTTTCTTGGTTAATAAATACTGTATTGCATGGGCAACCAAGAATCTAGAATCTGAGAGAATATTTTGTGCTTCTGTCTCTCTCTGTAGTTAAAACCAGTGGTTCCTAATCTTACAGCTTATCAGATAATGGTAACTGAGACCTCATCTACACAAACAATGATAAACATATTATTATATGTTTTAAAAACAACAGACATCCTCCACAACTTTCATTATTCCTTTTTTGTTCATTGATTATATGCGTATGTCTTAGGAAGAATACTGAGTAGATAACTAATCAGTCATTGAAGCCAAACCTAGTTTGATTATTGGAGATCAGAATTTCATACTGAATTCCACTGCTCTAAACTATCTGTAAAGGTCTTACATAATAGTTTCATAATGTATATTCAGAGTGTGACCTGTGAGAGAAGACTGTTCTTGACATGTTGAGGATAGCAAGATGCTTCAAAGATCCTCTGCACAGAGATGCACACACCTGAAAAAATACACAAAATAATAAAAAAATAAATAAAGTAAAACAGAGCAAAATCATAGATGTAAATCAGTGTATGTATGACGTGACCACTAAACTAAAAAAAATCTCAATAAAAGGATGTCTTAATTCGTAAGTTGCTATCTGAGTGGTTTTTACCAGCTCCAGGGAACAATCACTGTTTGACAGATCCAGAGTTTCAAGACAGTTTGGGTGACACAGGAAATTGTGCAAATTCTGCAAAGACAAGACAGAGAACCACATTAAGTACAGAGGAGATGAGTATTTGTATAAAGCTTGACAGTTTGGAATAAAGACAGAGATGTAGAGAGGAAATGGTGTTGCATACCTCAAGGTCATCTCCTCTCAGGGAGTTTCCCGACAGGTCGAGGTGTGTGAGGGTGGAGGCGATGATGGAGTTGGCGCACAGTGCTTGACAGAGGCTGTTTACACCTGCAATACAAACTTGTTCTTAAAAAAAGCCTGAGAACAGTGAAATACTATTTTTTTTTTTGTTTTCTATGTACTCGCCTTTAGGAGACATGGAGGTCTTTGAGAGATTCAAGTTCTTTAGGCCCATGGGCAGTTTGGCTAGCTGAGAACTCAGCGCATAGACACCTGAAAGAAAGATTCAGAAAGCGGAAGCCATTTCAGAAAGTACTTTTGAAATTCACAGGTGTTTCTTATTTTGCTATTTTTTTCTGTATCTACAGTTTTGTACTTAATCTTGTGCTTTTATTTTGCCTTCATCTTCATTTCATTAACAATGACATAGTGGAATCTTTTGTGTCAGCTCAATTCAGTTTTTTTTATATGCCCTTTTGAATCAAATTCATCTCAAATTATACAGAAATATCTAATTAAATAAGTGAAACTCACAGCAGTTAAATTGAAAGGTAATTACATGTGATTATATCAAGGCCAATTTGAATGATCTGAAAACAGCACCTGGAAGATTAAAGTCATATCAATAGGATGACAAAATAACATGCTCAGCTCATGATCAAAATACACTAGAGTTGACCATTTTCTTCTCATCCATTAGTTACTGTTGCATTCCTTTAGAGAGAACAATCTAATGCTGGCATTAACATTCTGAAAACTTTGCATGCCAAATGTGTGCTTATAAAATTTATTTTTAAATGTAATTGTGGTGTAAAATACAAAGGAAATCTTCCTAATAACATAAAAAAATGCATAATTCTTTCAGTGTTCTTGTTTTTCTGCTCAATTTCACAATAACTTTCTGACTGCTTGATCTCTAATTAGTCAAACAGGAAGTTTCTGCATTTCAATGATAAATACTTAACCACTACATTCACACCCTACCCTGCAACAGTAAAGAACATTGTTTGAGATGTGTGGGTGTGTGTGTGTGGTTGTAACCTTTGTCCTCTAGGGAGTTGTTGCTCAGACTGAGTGTGTGCAGCGTGCAGGACGGGTTGTGTGACAAAGCACCTGCAAGTTTCTGAGCAAAATCACTGAGGAAGAGACAAAACAATATCAGAATGTCAGAATCAGAGAATGACTTTTTGTGAATAGAAAACCTGAATGGATACAACAACACAACAAGCCTGGCCAATGAGACCTGATAAATTAAAAATACCTGTCTTAATCAACATTTTTGAGTTAAAAATGGCTTATTTTGGACAATGATAATCTGACCTTTTCAGTCCAGCGTTGTCCAGAACCAATTCTTCTAGTCGACTGGATCGGGCAACAACTCTGAGAATCTGGTCACAAACATCTGTAGACTGGGACACAGAAACACCAAACACAAGGTGGGAATATATATATGTATTATTTAAACAATAAAATAAGAATATTTAAGAAACAACTAAAATGCAAAACAGAACGTTACCAGTTTGTAGTCTTTGGTTGATAGCTTGGTGAACCACTGGTTGTATTCCAGAACTGCAATGATTGCCACAAGATCCCTGCAGGACAAATATAAGAATGTGCAAATTAATATCCACACCAGGTGGTGCAGGGTATGTGTGAATGTGGTGACAACTGAGGTCAGATCCGAGTTTAAAACCTGTTCTCCAGATGAACAAAGTCCTGCAGGTTCAGTTCTCTAGTGTCCTGACTTAAATAGATTGTGTCAACATCCTGCAAAATGTAGTAACAGCATGTGAGATAAAAAAAGAACAAAATACAACATAAAGAGTGAATATTGTCATAAAAGGAAAAAAAACAGTAATATCAGAAAGAAAATGGCATCAACGAGAAGCAGCTTCAGAAGATGTGCAAAAAGTCTGCAGGAGTAATTGCTTCAGTGTGAAAAGGGGTAAAATAAATATCCCTATATTTAAGAGAAATAAAACATGAAAAAAGAACAAAAAAAGGTCATAAAATGCAGAAGAAAAGAAAATAAATACAGAGATATACCAAGCCCAACTTTATTAAAATGACTTGTCAAGAAAGAAAATTAAAAAGTTAAAATGTTAAAGAAAACACGTCAAGGAAGATAGTTTATTCATACTGACCCATTGGACCTCCTCTCTGTATGGCAGACCCAAGCTGTCACACACACACCAGTACTGATGAGAAAAGCCACCTTGAGGAGACATCACAGCAATGTCAGTGATTAAATAAAAAAACTAATTGAAATCTTCCCATACTGTTTATTTAGTTACTTGTTTTATTTTTCCTTATTCTTGGCTTTTTTTTTTTTATTTAATTTCTTTTTTAATTATATTTGTTTACCACAGGGTCCTAAGTCAGCTGAACTCTGTTCGCTCCAGATGGCCTGCAGGGCTGTTAACCTCTCTGGAGGTTTCAAATTCAACTTCCTCATCAACTTCCTTCCTTGCAGAGAGATACAGGAAAAAATTGGAAAAATTTACCAAATACATATGTGAAATCAAGACATGAAGAGCCACATACATTCTCTTATACAGATAAAGTGTTTTAATAGATAGCATTACATTTCATATACATTTTTAAAATAAATTTTTTATGTACGGTTATTTTATTCTCAAAACTCTCTAGAATTAAAGTTGTTTTCTAAAGTTTCTGCTGGATAACTTTCAAAATATAACCATTAATTTATTGTAAAATAAACTGAAATAACATCTCGGTCTTTAAATACCAACTGAAGTAGTTAACAGATTGTTGATACCAATAAAGGCTAAGCTCCTTAAATTTGAACAAAATGTATTTTGTTCCTTTTTTCTGTTGGAACATCTGATCTTGTCAAAGTCTGAGGTTTGCTCCATGGTGGTACCTACACAGGTGAGCCGGCAGGACAGATCCGGTGAAGACAGTTGCCGATCTGAGCAATCACCTCATCCACCTCCTCAACTGAGCCCAGCCGGAAGCTCCAAGGCCCACGGTCATGCTCCAAAATCAACTGCAGGGGGCGACACACACAAAGAAACAAGGCACAGTGTTAGTTTTTCTCACCATTGTGTTGCAAAGAGAATTAGCTGGTTCACACTTAAGATTTTGTGACATACGGAAATCCCAATAAGATGGGATTTCTTATTGGGTTTAGACTTGAGTTTAGACTTCACAGAAGCAGCCTAATGGAAAAATGTTTTTGTGCACTTTTAGTAATTCTTTTTTAATGAAATGAATGGGTTTCTGTGTGTACTAAGCTTACAGATGGCTTAAGTAAAATGTCCTATCTCATATCTGGTGTGTGATCACATGAAATATGAGACACTATGCATAACCTTTGGGCTTTTGTCAATGTCATAAATATAATTTAAATCATAAACCACTCTGATGGTGATATAGTTTGTTGTTCTTGTACCTGAGATGGTTTGTTGCTGCTGATTCCCTGAATATCCAAGTAGTTGAATGATTGCTCAACCTGAGATAAAGAAGAGAATATTTTTATTCACATTAAATTAATTGCACTTTTCCAAGTTTTGACAGAAAAAAACAAGACTTTTTTTTAAAATTTTTGTCTCATAAATCAAAAAAGAAAAAAAAAACATCTCAAAATGAGGACAAGCAACAAAAAAACAAATCGACTTCACAGACTGCATCCCCGTCAAAACAAATTCAACTTGTAGAGCTGTAAACACGGTGGTAAATGTCAAAGCAGAATGTCTTCCACAATAGCACAAAAACACAAACATCCATTTTTGTTCCTTTGATTCTGAGTCACCTATTTACTTTATGGAGTCTTGATTTAACAGATCAACGCGCAAGTAAAAACGTACAAGGAAAGTTGATCTGAGGTGCATTATGCTGAGTGATTGAGCCTGAAGTTATATTTTAGAGAAAAAAAAACTAGGTAGGAAGCCTGGATCTGGTTTGAACACCTGGTATGATATACATCCTAAATAAATGTTTGCATTCTGATTTTTTTTAAATTTTTTAATCTGAAATGTATTATGATCTCTAAGATAATGCTGTATTTTCAACTTTGTGGTTACAAGTTAGGACAGGCTGTTTCCGGCTTCAATGCAGCAATGCCACCATGCACAAAGGCAACTCCATGATAACAGATTTTACAGAACATCTCTTGCTCTGCCAACAACCCTGATAGGAGTTGGTGTGCCGGCTGTCAGCCAGACGACATCACTGCTGGACCTCACTCACACTTGTGGCTGAAGTGGAGCAACATCTGGTGCAAAAGCCTGAGGCCAGGGGAATGGAGGCTGGTGTAAACGCATTTTAACCCTGACTTGTATGAGCCACTAAGTTACATTCAGCTTAAATGATCAAGTGTGTTTAGTTTACCAGGAAGAATCTGGTATGAAGCCTAGAAGCTTTGGTAAATACCCTTAGGTTTCACCAAGCTCCAGCTCATTTTTGGAAAAAAGCATGCATCATGCTTTACTGAGACTAAAAATTCAACATACTACTCATTTTGAACCTTTAATATGTAACTTAAAATCACAAAATTCACACCTAGCTTTTTCTGTGTAGAACATAAGCACCTGTGTGTCTGACTGCATGATTCATATTTTCCAGGCTCAAATTGAAACAGAATCTTAACAGTAAAAGGAGCAGATTAATTATCAAAAACAAAACCATGGTTGAACAAAATCTTCCAATCAAAACAAAAGCTGCAAACAATTTGCAGAACAAATGGGGGAAAAGCCAGACCCTCAGTTTCATTTTCCTATGAATTCAGAGAAGAAATGTGCTGTCTGCCAAAGAGAGCAAGTGTAATGCAATAAAAGGTGGAAGAAACAAGAATGGAAAAGGAAGAGAAACACCAGAATTTATTATAAAATCTGACAAGTAACGGAGACACAAAATTTCTCTTCTAGTGTGAAATTGAAAGGGAATACCAGAGAAATGGACAAAAAAGATGAGCGAGAATGAAACAGGAAGAGGCAAAGAGGCAGTGCCCACTCCTCTGCTCTGTTTGCCAGCTGTTAAATTCCTCCATTGTCTGTTTTTTTCTCTCTCCCTCTGCTGGGACAGTACACACTCAGGAACAAACCACTCTCTGTTTCACTCTCACACACACAAAGTTAGACAAACCACTGACCCACTCTGGAACAACAGATCAGGGGTCAGCTGGCAGATCTCGATTTGAACATTCTGTTTATAGGTTATTTACACACGGATGTTTTTCAGCTGTGTCCCTTAACTGGTTTATTATACAGCATTTTTAGAGGGAAGAGGGGAGTTTATTTGGGTAAAGTTCTCATGAGCAATCAAGGTCTTGACAAAAGGAAGCATGAGTCAGCCTGATCTCAGTTAGAAGAAGCAGGTAGACAATGGAGAAGTCAAAATCACAACTTCTCAAAACTAAATCATGGTAAGAGAGAATAAAAACAATCTGAACTAGAAAAAAATCTATCAACAACACAACTATTTGCAATGGGCAACACAAGTCAAGTGGCAAGACGAAAGCCATTGATAATGAATAATGATAATAAACTTCTACATGCAGTTTGCTATGGGGCTCTGGTTAGATGAGGCCAAAATGTAACTTTTGGTTATACAAAACTGAATGTTTGGCTGAAAAACAACAAAACAACCAGTAATCTAACATCCTCACAATGAAACTTAGCACTAGCAGCAAAGCTTGAGTAATTTGTCAAAGGAGAAATTAATCTAAATGTGAGAAGATGCAGACTCATTCTGCAAAAGACTTTACTGGCAGCAAAACGTAAATATTCAAATTATTGACCAAGGGGGATGAATTCACATGCAAACCATTTTTTATTTATTTTTTTTTATTAGTTGAACATTTAAAAATGTTTATCTTTCACGTTTCGCTTTACAACTATTTGGACTATCTCATAAAATTACAGTGACACAAAAGTTTTTGACTAAAGTGTAACAAAATGTCGAAAGCTCAAAGAAAGGTCTGGGCTTTTAATCTTCCCATTTATATCCATGCAATATTGATCACTGGTAAAACACTGCTGAGGACAAAGGACACACTACGATGTGGTAGTGAAATAGGATAATATGGTCAAGAACATCTGAAGAAATACCAGTTTTGTTCCATTTTTCAGTCTCTTCTCATCTTAATCTGTCTGAGAATCCACATGATCTGCCGAGACAAGCCTGATTCACACAGACTCCACCCGGCAAACCGCAGGAGCAGAAGATCTGATCCAATTGCTAGACACCACACAGGGCAGGCCTAGAAGTCTCACGTCCATTCTATAACAGGTCAGAGTTTGGATTTAAGACACGCGCACAAGAATATTTTAATATTACGCTAGTGTTTAAATCCTTTCTGCTAATGAATAATAATTTAATAAATGATTCAATGGAGAATATATACTCAAATAAGGCATTTTTTCTGAAAGAACATAATACTCAGAGCAGTAAGGCAAACCAAACCAAAATCTATACATTTTGCATTTAAGATTAAAAAACATTGTATGTATGTTCTACCCAAATCTCTGTCAATATGATAGTTTCAGCTTCACCTGGTTTAAATTCTGTAAAGAAATCTCCTATTTACACATGTTTGCAGGAGGTGCCAATACTTTTAGGGGGAACTGTACATCTGTTACTCTGCAATGAACGTTATCAGGTCGCTGGTTCTCAAACTCTTAATCTTTCTGTGGCAAAACATACTAAAAAGTATCATTTGTGCTCTGCTGTTGTACTCTTGGACATTTACTGAAGTTATAGAGGCATGGGTTGAACTCAAACCACACTGCTTAGAATAAAAATAAAAACGTAACTTATGATCCTTCACAATGATTAAAATCTCATGATCTTTTGTTCCATGAAACTGACAGTTCAAATCCAATCCCAACCAGCTGACATCCTTCCTGAGTTTAAATTTGAGTTTGTTTCTGCGTCAGACTTTCCCATCTATTTATAAAATTGTCCAGCTTGATTCACATACACATTAGTAATATCCTTCCCTGTTAAAAAAATATTTAAGGTTACAAGTAGAATTAAACAGAATAGAGGGCTGAGAACAAGGAAACAACACAAGTAATTTACGATCAAGATTAAACTATGATTTTGACTTCCCTTGTAAAAAATCAACAATGTAATGGCTTTAAATTTTTATAACTATTTATCAAATCCAAATAGGAAAGTTGACCACAACTTCAGAATATAAGTTTGGCTTTTGACATTTCTAGACACTTTTTGTAGTTTTGCCTTCTACATTTTCAAAATGGTCATGTCTTGTTTTTTGTATCTTTTTAAGAAGTAAAAACATACTGTTTAGACAGTTATTTTAGTTTTATGAGAGAAAGTATTCTGTTAGATCCTGTAAATATTATTACTTTTCTCAACTCTTAAAGTCATTCCACGGTGTTTTTCTCTCTATGTAAGCTCTGCCCTTTGGGTTTGAACTTTTCTTCCTGTCACTATTTTCCTTTCCCACAAGCTGTGTTCTCACAGCTGCATGGTGGGTAAGACTATCAAATATCTCCATATGGAGGGACCTGTTCTCATCTGGCAACAAGGACAAAGAGACTGAACATGAGAGAAAAAGAGACTGAAAGGGAAAAGGAGATCGGACCATTTTAGAAATGCCCAGATAAACAGAGATCAGAAAAGAGGAAGTGGAAAAGAATTATGATTTGATATAGCGCTATACAGTTTGGTGCACTAAGTGGAACCTGTAATGTAATATTGTTATTTTAAGTATAAGGAACCATCATATTTTTAGCAAGTTCCGGTTTTAAAGTAGCTAAGTTTTCTAGTTGTGATAGGCGCATTACAATGTGCAGACATATTTATTTTGAGATAGTCTGACATAGATGGTTGGACATTAATGTCATTTATATTTGAATTTAATGGTCTGAACAGATTAAAATGCCTTCACACATCCTTAAATTGTACCTGACATGGTATTGTGCAAATCCACAATTTTCTTCCTCATTTTTCTTTTGTGAGTTCTTCAGATTTTTTGATGAAGTCAGATAAGGACACAGTATATTTGTGATGTTACATCCATAGGTTACTCCATTTAATTCTCATGTGCTTAATATAATGTGGCTTGTTTTTTTGTTTGTTTGTTTATTCGGATCTCCATTGGCTTCCTGGGGTCCATACTATATGCAAAATGTTTATTACAAAAACAGCTACACAAACTTCATATAACATAAATAACATAGCTTATTGAGTCATAAATGTACAATTATAACATTTTATGTGATAAAATAATTAAACAAGGCTCTTTTAAAAGCTCTAATATTTGAAATGTAGTATAAATTCATCTGGTTCCAACTGTTATTTGCAGAACAAATTATTTAAAATAAATAATTTAAACATTATACAAATAAAGCCATTCTGCAGTTTAACCAGCTGCTTTGTCGCCCACCGGTTAGTGTTTTGCAGGTACTATATCTAGGTACCTACAACAGCTCAGCATGTCAGTATGACACAATGAATAAACATGAAAAGGAAAAAACAAACACATTGACTTAAACCTATTATAAACAAAACCATGTGAATTTATTAAAATGAGTTCTCATATATGTAGAGAGTGTTCAACTAACCTTGGAAGGCACCCGTGCTGTCAGCAGATAGGCTCGATGTGACGCCAACGCCTGCAGAAAAACACAGAGATGTTCAAAAAAGAAAAGTTTGGTTTAACTCTGTTAGAAATTAGTTTCAATGTTTTACAATTAGATCATGGCAAAAAAAACAACAATTCTAAATTTCATCATCATTTAAGGAATATCTATAACAAATAAAGAAAAAATAGACTTATAATGTCCTATGCTTTAAACTATGGCTTAAAAAAGTTGAAAGTTTAAATTTGTATTGCTTTATTTTATCCGATGCACATTCATGAGTTCTTACACATTTGCAAAGGCTAAGGGTCAGAGAAAAAGTGAAGAAAATGTCAACTAAAATGAAAGGACAGAAACTAAATCTGCTCACTTTCAGCCCACACATAGCCAGATAATTCCCTCCTAAGGTTACATACCAACACGTTAGCATTTTTCCCTTTCCAGAGCTGCAAAGTGAGTTGGCCTCTTAAGAGGGTTTTTAACGGAGTGTGATAATGATATATATTATCTGAAACTATGTGTTTAACCACAGCGTGAGTGCATATTGTGGCTTCTCACTCAGCAAACACTACGAAGTTTCATGCTGACAAAATTAGCAACTTATTTTTACCCAAAATGTCTGACATTTTCCTTGAATTATTTTTGAATTATGCAAGTTAATAGCCGTTGTGACATTTTCTCTGTAATGATGTTGAAAGAAAATGATAGGGGGGGAATCCATGCTAAGTCAGTCATGGCAGACAGGAGGCTAAGCCAGCTGTGGCATTTACAGTAACCCATTGTGTAGCTGAGTGAGGTCTCTCCAGGTCACATCTGCTTAAGTCCAGTTTCCAGCAAATAAGATAGTGATTCCTCAGTCAGGCACTATTTCAGATAATGGCCTTCTGATAGTGGTTTGCCTTGAGAAGTCTGAAAATATTTGCGTTCAGGTGTTTTGCAGATGAGGGAATAGTAGTGTTATAAGTTAGGAGGCCAATGAATTCAAGATGTCAGACCAAATAACAGGACAGGGAGAGTCGGGGCTAGAACTCTCAGAAATCAATGCCTCAAGTCTCTTATGTCAAAGAAAGTTTAACAAAAAAAATATCCAAAAAAACAATTAAAGACTAAAACTAAACGTGTAATTTTAAAAGCATTTAAAAACCATTTTTTTTTGGTTTTGTTTTAAGCTTAATTGTCATGCTTTAGACCTTCTGAAAGTATCTTGAGTTTTTCCAGAGGACATCAGCAAATCTTTCCCACTCATGTTTATTACAGTCCTTCTCTCTACCTTCAAAGGAGCAACTCTGTTAAGATAAAGTTAAGGTTAACCCTGGCAAACAAATCATTTAAGCTTTGAAATGTTCTCAAATAAAAATACACATTGTTTTGTTTATGCGATCCTTGCACCAACACTTTGCTAGTATTTAAATTATGGCAGGTAATCTCAAAAGATACAAATCTTTGTTAAAATTGCATATTTGTGTGATGTATAAAAAATAGGACTAACATACATTTTTAAATTCACATATAACCAATATTTCTTTAGAAGCACTCCTAGGACTTAACTTCAACATTTAGGCTTTATTGCTGGATATCAGTGCACTACATCTTGACTTTGCAATATTTGCACACTTCACTAAATCCATGAGAAGGGGAGGACATCGCTTGTCCACAGCTCTCTTTTTGGGCAGATTTTGTTCTTAACTCTCATTAGGCACTTTCAAAACTTCAATTTTAGTCCTACAAAGTTATTCCTGTACTAGATAGATGTACCTGCTCTTTCTCTTAAGCTCCTCAAAAGACTCCTGAAAGTCAAAATGGTATTTGGAAATGTTCAGAACTCCATCCACCTTGACAAATCCCCTAGTTTATCTGTTTTTCTTTTTTTTTTTTTTTTTTTTCTGAACGTGTGCCTCCAAGCATTATGGTAATTCTTAAATATGCTGTGTTGTTTTAGTGTCCAATTCACATTTTGCAATTCCAGCAAAGTTGAAATTTGGTTTCATCAGACTTTAATGCATTCTCCAACAAGATTTTTGGGATGTTCTAGCCTGCAGGTTTTCTTTAAAAGAAAACGCTCCTGTCTTACATGTCTTCTCCTTAGCCCAGACAACGTTGCAAACAGAACACAACCAATACTTAGCAGAAAATTATGCAGTGTTGCCACTTGGCTGCCTCCTTCAACATCTTCTGTTTTTTCCACTTTTTCTTCTGCTTTTGAGGCTTCTATATTAGACCATTAGCAAAAGAGCAATATGTTACTCTAGTTCAGAAACTGAAACTCATTTCAAATGAAATCAGAAAATTCCCAAAGATGCATAAAGTACTGTAAAATGTCCTGGAAAGCTGCTCTGACTGGATTGATAAAACACAGTTGACCAACACCCATGGAGGAAATAGCTCTCCAATTTATCACTGAATGTGGAAAGTTGACACTGGACCTCAAGTAACTTTCGTTATGTTGCTTTTTACCCTTCCTGTAGACTGTGGGAACATCCTTTTAAAGTGAAATTCAAGTGTAACTTATTTTAAAAGATGACTTGGACCATTGAGAAACAGTTTAGTAATTCCTCTTCAAAGACACTTTTCACTTTCTCCTTGGTTTAGGATATACTATCAAAAATACTCAAAGTAAGTGTGATGCCCTATTCCGTATATTACAGGACATTTATTGTAAGCTTTCTCCTGACTGATACTTTAAATAATATCCTTTTGTAATCTCTATAAACTGTTTCTAAAAGACACAAAGAAGCAAGTGGCAAGAAACTAATACAAGGAATTTATTTTTTGAAGCCCAGAAACCCAAATACACAAAGATGAACAGTATGTTCAAAATAATTGTACAAAATGTTCTTTTCACAATCATTAACCAAAAAAAGGAAGCAGATTAGGCTTTTGAAAGACCTAATTAGGCATCTGAACTTTATTTCAGTTTCAACAGTCACTATAATTGATGGCAGGTGTGAATTAAGAAAATATTGTGTGGGTTTAAGTTTGTGCACATTTAAAGGACAATGTTACTGATCTCTAGGTTTTATACTCGCTCCACTAGTAATGGAAATATTAGTTACCCTGGTTTATTGTTTTCTCCTCAGCTCAGTTGTACACCTGAAAAACAGTTTTGTTTAATATAATCTCTTTTTTAACATTGCACTTTAACAGTGTTGGAGCCTTTTGAGAGGTATAACATATTCTGTTACTGCTGAGCCATTATGCCTTTAGTGGCGAAATCTGATCATGACTGAGCTTGCATCAGCATTTAGAGGGAAAAAAAAAAAAAAAAAACTACCATCACTGGTTTTACATTTCTCCAATTGAAGTGATGCATTACTTTTCTCTGCTTGACCCCATGTATCCTTGCCTTTGATTTCTAAAAGTAAACAATTTATGTACTAATATATAATGCAACATTATAAGTGCTTTAGTTTAATTGAACGCACTACTTCCTGGGTTTTTAATGGTAGAAGCTACAGCTGTGGAATGTAGCATGAGTGTGTGTCCCAACACCCTGTGGCTCTGAGTGGGCTGATCTAGTCAAGTCCTGACAGGAGCTGCAAAGCTTAGGTATGTGGACAATGCAATAATGTGCTAAAACTATTGAAACTTCGAAAATAAATTGTAATTGTACTTCTTTGGATAGAAAGAAAATAAAAAAATGTGTTATTTACTAGATGCATGCAGCTGGTAAATTTTGGTAAGTTTCCTGAAATATCCACATATTTCTAAAGAGATTAATCAACATGCCTGCAGGTACATGAAACCAAATATCCTGCCAATATAGTACCCAGACTCCACCACTGTGGGACTCTCTGCTGTGCTCACTGAGTTTTAATAATCCTTAGAATCTGTAACTGAACAACCTTGAGGTTTGCACTTGAACACTCATTTACTCCAAGTTTTTCTCTGTCTGTTTTTAGATTCCTCTATGAAACAATAAAAAGAAAACACAAATCTAGGATCTGGAGTTCAGAAAGCAGCTGCAATAACTAAAAACCTCTGAAGCTGGCAGAGAGATTCTGTCCACAACTACTTTAATCAAAGTAAAAGGAAGTCTTATTGGTGCTTTAATCAAAGTGACAACAGTGCTGAAGAGTTCTTTTCATGTTTCATTATGAGCATTAAAATAACTTTTAAACACAAACAGATAGAACCGTATTTGGCCTGAACAATTAACCACCGGAGTCTTTTCTCCAAGCCGGTAATAATACCACTAGTAAGCTCAAACAGTTCGCTCACTAATGAAGTGCTGATCTGCTTCTGTTTCCTGTCAGTGAAAAATCACAGAAGTTCTTTAAAGAATGGTTTGCTTTAAGCATTTCCCTACCCAGACTTATGTTAATTATTTCAAATATAAAACTTTTTTGATTTTTTTATTCAATAAAACATTATGCATGTTTTGTAATGGAGGACAAATATTTAGTTGCTCCTGGTCATGTAGCGACATGCCCACACTAACAAAATGCACTGGTTTTTTTTGGTTTATAATAACACACTACCACGTAAAACATTTTACATAAAAAACTCATGATGTCTGCGTGTACTGACATCACTTACACAATATTTACTACAGAAATCTGAGCAGCTCTCACTTACCAGAACTCTGTTCTCCACCTTGTCACCTTTGACCTCCAGCTGGACTTTACGCCTCAGGGCAAGCTTCACCCTTCGGCCCACCGCCTCCCGCACACTCTCTACAGCACATGACAGAAAAGGGACAAGAAAGACCAATTAACACAATGACGGCCACAGGAAGGTCACATTACAACTAATTGCACAATGGCAATGGGTGGAGATGGATGGAGGAGGGTCGATGTCACAGCCTGAAGCACTGATCGCTGGATATTCTTGTTGTATTTAACTCTGGCTGAGCCATGAAAGCATGCCTCAAGCTAATATTTAAAGTGAAACCGATTTCCTCTTTAACCAGGATTCCAACATAAGATTTAATTTTATGATTTTATGATGTTTGTTTTTCTAAGCTTTTCAGCTCCATTCTCAGAGTGCAAACTTTTTATGATCTCAATCTTTATTCAGTTTTACTGAAACTGTTTGTTTAGCAGCTCCCCACTCTATCCCTCAAATGCTGCCATATTCAGATGCTTCCTATTTAAACAAAGGATTAATAATAAGCCCCTAGGGTTTTTTTTGTTTTGTTTTGTTTTTTTATAAATGAAATTGTGTACTAAAACACAAAGCAGGTGCAAAGGCAAGAGGGTGTATTTGTGGGCCAAAAATGACAGTGAGTTTTGCAGTGCAGACATACAGTCAGCAAATAAAGACAGTAGAAAAATTTCCTCCTACTTAGGGATGAGGCGGGCCAATTTCCTTTTATTTTGATTTGTTGTTTAGATGTATACCCCACCTATAAATAAAACTAGAAACATAAAACACAGCTTTCATTCCGAAAAGCCTTGCGTTTCCAAGGAAATGGGTCCATAGAAAACTATTTTAACAATTCTTGAGTTGAGGTATGGAAGAATGGAAAACTTTGTTTCTGACCCAACGGAAAAAAGATCCGAGGACAGATGGGGACCAAGAGAGAGAGGGGGAGGGTAAAAATTGTAGGCGGCATTAAAACTGTCAGCTAGAGAGCAGCAGAGGAAGAATGAGAAAGATGATGGAGGAAAAAGAAAAAAATCAACAGACAAAGGGCTGAAGAGCAGACAAAACGTGGTACGGTTCAAGTGGAATGTGTGTTGTGAGAATAAAGAGGCAGGAGAACTTGGGCCCGCCTTCATGACATCATGCCGAACTCCTCCTCTCCTAAGCCAGACACATGATGAGGTCATGTGGAGGATGAAAACATTACACCAAGAAGGAGCGTAGAGGCTGATCAGAAACACATGGGCATCTCTGCTAATATGAGGAGCCATGAATAGTTTATGACAACCTGTGAAAAAGTTCAGTGTTTGCTCTCAAATGTATCAAGCTACTTCTCAAGAGAGTCAAATAATAAGAAACATTTTGAAGTTTCTTACGATGAATTTAATACCTGGTAGCAGAATAACTCTGAAACCAGTATGATGGCCCAACCCAGGGTAAAAACACAGAACATGGTATTGCAGTATTACTGATTGACTGGACTCAACTTGAACCCAGGCAAATAAATTATAATTTTCCATTTATGTTTCTATACAAACAAGTATCAAAATGTGCACTTCAATAGTCGGTTAGTGTTATGAAAGCAAAAGAGGGCAGACAGTGTTAATGTCAAGATCAGCATGCTCCTTCATGGACTGTACTGTTTAGCCTTAGATTTGTCAGAGGTCCGTTGACTACAGTACCTAACAATGTCATTCATTTACAACCATGAAGTTTAATCTACCTTTCTGAAACTTAATTTTATTGATCAAAAGAAAGCAGTAGCAAAAATAGATTCAACAGGCCATTTTTTTGCAATGCAAAAAATACAAAACATCTGTCCGAATGTTGCATTTAAGAAATCCTTTAAGTTTGTGACATATGGTGACAGTAATATCCCAATGGGGATTGCTATTTGATAAATTGTGCAGCTCTAGTGTATATCAGAGCATGTGGCAGCATAGACCATAGGGCAAAGATGATAGTGTAGTGTAGACATACACAAGAAAAAACTAGCAACTGTAACTGCAGTGGAAATTCATTGTAGTAAGTACTGACATCACGGTGCTAAATACAAATCACTCTTATGTCCTACTTTGGGTTGACCAATCAAATCTATCAAATAAAATCCCAATAAGCTGCACTGAAGTTTGCTGTACTTAGTTGTATTATGTCAAATTTGAAAACCTTCGAAGGACAGAGGAGCAGGGTGCACCGATTTATCAGCCAACTGATTTATCAGCACCAATCTCCTTAATTTTGGGGATCAGTGATTGGCCATTACTTACACATGAAGGTGATTTTATCTGCCTCAGCGAAGGTCTAAAAATCAACCACTATCCTCCTCTGCTCTCCCATGAGAGAAGTTTGACTGACAGACTGGCTCACCAGGTCATGTTTATATGTTTGCAGTTTAGAATAGTCAACTATTTCCAACTCAGTGAATTCTTGCTATATTTAGCAACATTTCAGATAATTTTTTTTTTTTAAAAATTGGTGTCAGCCAAAATCTGAATCAGAACATCATACCTCAAAAGATTGGTGGTCAACCAGAAAATCGGAGCACCGCTAGATAGGAGTATCGTTACAAGACATAACTGTATGTAATGCTAGCATGTGCAACGTTTCTGCAGTTTTCTGTCAAACCTGAGGAAAAACCGAAGGGAAAATATGCATTTGTGAGAAGTTCAATTTAGTGAGAGGGAAATAGGTCTGTATACCAAGACCCACTCTCTTCAATTCCCCTTTTGTTTAAATGTTTTATTAGATCAGTATTGCAGCACAAAAATTGTAAATCTGATGAGTTGTTTATGTCAGTTTTTAATTACTGATGATAAGCAGCGTCAGGCCATTCTGACCTATTCCACTGGTAACAAAAAGATCCATTCATCACTCCATCCAGAGAAATACAGTGTGAGATTGAGCTGTAGACAGCGTAACAGACAGCACGGGGTCATGAGTCAGCTTCACAGATTTAGTTTCATAATAACCGCCATATGGATGAAATAGATGCATGCACTGTATCCTAAGAGCATCTGGACGCAAGGTTTCAATTTTGCAACTAGAATTACTTGTAAAATGTTGATATTTTAAAAGCATTTGTTTTGTCTATCAAAATGGGTATTGATTTAGTGTCTGTGTCACATATGAAGATTCATTCAACAAGAAGCGGGCTAAAACTGCTTATCCCAACATCTTCAGTGCAATGTTATGCAATTCCAAAGGTCAAAACTCATGCTTAACTACTATCAAGAGGACAATGTTTGGATTATTTTTTGCTGCAAATTTGCAATGATTTGCTGTTCTTTTTGGGACTCAATCATCCAGGCAGTTTGTGTTGATAATATCTCACAATCCAAAGGAATTTCACAGGGCACACCCCTTTCCCAAAGCCCTTGCTTCACTCCTTCAGATAAGGAAGTTGGAGAGGAGAAACCTTTAGGTAGCCAGCCAAACCCCGAGGGCATAAAAACAACTTTTCACTGAAAGGCAGAAAAAGTTGAGAACAAAACGTGAAACAAGGATTTCTTTCCTCTAGTTTATAGTCAGTGTATTCCACAGTTTTTGAATGTGGAATATGATTTGTGTTTGTTTATATGTGACACTAAACAACATGCATATCCTATTTTGTTTTTCTCACTCTGTTCATCATGAGTTTCTGGTAACTGTTTTAAACCTAAAAGCATTTGGTTCTTATAAATGCAGCATTTGGTTCTTATAAATGCATAACATTTCACCATCATTAATTTATATTAATATTTTAAGTTTTGATCGAGAGAAAATATTTAACTTTAGAACAAAGTAAAACTTTAAAGACAGTTGCTATTATTTGTCCAAAACATCTGTAACTCTTGATGTTTTGGGTTAGAAAGCTAACACAACCCTCTCTCTAATTAAGTGACGTTTAAGTTCAACTTACCGAACAGCTCGTTGGAAATGTTTGTTTTCTCCTCCGTCATGATTTCTTCTGTCGAGGTAAACACCGAACTTCAAGCCGGTAACGAAGAAAGTAGAAGCCAGACAAAAGTAGAAGAGAAGTGGCCGAAGACGGACCTTCAACCAAAGTCGGCTGCAAACGGTGTGAGCCCCGTTTTCTTTGGTTACCTGTCGACTCCCTGCTTACCTAATAACTGCTCCTGTCCGCTATCATCCCTGCAAGATTCACATTTGAATTACAACAGCGGGGAGAAGTTTAAAAGGGGTGAAGACGTACATGAAATATGCTTTTCATATCAGACTTGTATGAAAAAAGTGTCGACAGTCGGCGTGTGTACGAAAATAAATCACGCAGACACACTTCTTCACTCTCGCAAACTTCAGGGAGACCTCCTCTCCTTTCTTTTTCCGTCCACTCGGTCTGTTTACGCTGATAAGAATGGAAGGACAGCGACACCTGGCGGGCATTTCTGTGAATAACAAGACATTATGGAATCTTTTACTAACAGTGGAAAGATTCAAATTGAATGTATTTGGGGCCTTCTTTTGTCAGAACTGTCAAAAATGCTATTTGTGGAAGGCTCATAGTCAGACACTAAATCACGATATATTTGAGTGCATAGAGGTAAATGTATTTAAAATAATGTATGTATTTTCTAGTAAACTGTTTATTTCTAACAACTATGTCTTTGATCATCGTTTATAACGTTTAGATTTTTATGTTCTTAAAATATGCTTTTTGCTTTTTATGATGTTCTTTTATTAATTTGTTTTTTACCATAATTTTAAGGCAAAACCATAGGATTCTGTAAAATATTGCCATTCTGTCGCAAAGAAAAAAATATATTTAACTGAATGAAACTTCATTCAGTTAAGAAGAACAACTGAGTGATTTTTTTATTATTTATTTACTTAATTATTTTCATAAAATTGATTAATTTAATTTATTTTAAGGAAATTAGAAGTCAAAAGAGGTTTCTGTTATGCATTATTAGTGCTTCTTAGACATTTGTATTTTATATCCAACATGACTGTTTAATAAAATGATAGCGTTCTCTTAAACTTGACAGAGATTGTAATAATCCAGATTGTAATTCTAATTGCAACATCGTTGTGTGCCGATCTACTTGGTGTGTCTGACTGATTTAATCACTAGATGGCGACAAAGTGTTGAAAATATTTCGGTGCTCATTTGAACAGTTGAATCCATCTTTGGGTTTATAAGTGCAGTTACTCTTGCATTATTAATTCTAGAGAAGCAGTTTTGAACACAAAATGTTACCCAAGTGTTTGCAGATGTTACAAACTTCGATCCCATCTTTCACTAACATAACTAAAGTTAACAGTGTACAGAGAACAGAGATGTTTCCTTTGACGGTTTGTGGTTCAGTTCTATTGTCTTGGCTAATGTTAAGTCGCTCAATACAAATATCTTCACTTTCCTAAATCATGGAATAAGTCATTTTTGCCTAAATACATTTTTGCAAAGAAAAGAAAAGAAAAACAACCCCATTTTTATTGCTGAAAGATGATTAGAAAAATAAAATTAATGTTTCTTTATTTCATTTGACTCCAGACATTTGAAAGCCTTTGAAACTGTAAGCAAGTTGAAAACCCAGACAGCAGAGTGCACAGGAGCATTAGCAGTCAAGGTTAGCTGAAGATCAAGAATATAGTGATTTCTTATGTTGTGACAAAAGCAAATAGCACCGAAGCAAAATGTCTGCTGCATTCTGTCTGAAAGCAACAAACAAGCATTTGATAGAAAATGGCTTCACATAATTACTAATCACAACAGAAAGAAAAGCTTTAGTTTTGTTATAGATTTTCTCTGAAAAATGATGCTCAAATATGTTAGCATATGTGAACAGCAGTTATAGGCTCACAGGTGGGAGGTTCCATGGCTTACCGATGGTTTTTGTGTGTTTATTACAAAATTTAGATTTTCAAAATTTGGAAATCAAAATGATGTTGGGAAACATCCATTTTTGACCACTGTAGGTGTTTTTCTTTTTTCTTTCATTTTCATGTGTGTGACTGATTTCAGAATTTGGATTTTCACTGGTTCTTTTCATAGTAGGATTTATATGAACATCTCTTTTTTTTGTATGTATTGTTTCTCCGAAATGACTCATCCTTATCTTAGGTAATGCATTCTTGAATAATAATAATAAAAAAAAAAACAATAATTATTTCACAACCTTGCTGTAGACAAATGCAAGGTACTGCATACTTATAAAATAGAGGAAAAATTAAGCATATTCAGAAATTCTCCAGGGTTTTGGTTTATATTGCTTAAAGATGGTAAGTATTTACAAACATTTGACACAGCTGTTCCATAGAGAAACATTATAGCCTCTTGTTTCCAAATGTTTTTAATATCCAAAAAGAAACAGGTCAAATGAACAAATATGGCACAAAAAACTGAAACGACACAACAAAAAAATTAAATTAGTAAATTTTATGATACCTAAAGACTTTTATCCTTAGTTTTCCCAATATTTTTGTTAAATGGTTGAAATGACTGGTTAGAATGTACTGTATTAAAACTCCCTTTGTTTTTTTTTTCTCTGTTTCTTATTCTCTAATTTCTTTGACATTTTCTCAAACTCTGGAGTGTATAAGTGTATGACTGTGTGTTGAGATTAATAGTCATAATGGTTTCCAGTATAGTGATGGTTTAAAAATCACCTTTGGTCAAAGAGTAAATAAGAGCAAAACAATGACTGAGACTGCAGCTTAGTCATTTATTTTTACGGTAAGAGCACATTCATCTGTAGGAAGCTGTTTGGTCAATCACTGTTTTACTATTACTTGTTAGCGAGATCTTCGCTATGAGTAAATTATTTTCATAACACTGTCTGAGGTACAAATCCCATTTGATCAGGATGAGGTCAGCAGAAGTTTCATAATGTGGTTGTGCAGAAACTTAATGGTTTCACATTCGCCTTTCTGTCTGTGGGCTGCAGCAGTTTTCACTTTTTATCCTTTTTCATAGGCTCCAAATTCCCATAGGGTTGACACATAAGCCCTGAAGTGAGAGAAAAAAAAAAAGATGGCTGGAGTAATCCAAAATTAAAATCACTGCCTAATGGCTTTCATTAGCTCATATGCAACCAATAAGACAAAATAATCTATTGCTGAGATGTCAGTTTCGGGAAAAGTAGCAATAGTTTGTGGGAAACCTCTAAGATTAAATCCCCTCCATTATGGACTTACAGTACATTCTTCTCACTGGGTTGCTTGTTTAAAACCATTGTGTCCGTCATTTGTTCTCAGACGACAATAAAGTTTTCAGTTGTGATCAGACATTTACCTAAACTCAGCATGGCTATAATTATTTCTTTGAATGGTAGAAAAAAAGATTATTAGACGCTTTCTTTGGTACACTTTACCAGTAAAGGTTCAATCCATGTTTCCCATCACAACTGCCTTATTCATTTGTGATGAAAATTCTGTTTGCCACCCATGATGCTAATCTTCTATTCCGCCATATCCCAATGCTACTGGTTTGATGAATGTGGAGGCGTATGGTGGCCTGAACAGTTAACTCAGTGATGTTTAAGTCATCAATTTGAGTGAATTTCCAACCTTAGGATAAAGATGCATTACCTTATAATGACTACGCATTTAAGTGTTATTTGCAACACTTAACTAATGTTCAGTTGATACTAAATTGATGCAGAAATGCCAGAAAAATATCCTCCACACTACCACACCACAACCAGAACCCAAAACCATTGACGCATGACAGGATGGATCAATGCTTTTCTGATATGTATACTAAATTCTAGCCCTGTCATCTGAATACTGAAACTGGAACTGAAACCTACTGGACCAGGTGATAGTTTTCCAATCTTTGCTCCATTTTATAGTTTGGGAGAGTTGTAGTTTCGTTTCTTGTTGCTCAGCTACTTATGTGGCACCTGGCGTGGTCCTCTGCTGCTGTAGTCGGTCTGCTTCAGCGCTCGAAATGCTTTGCTGCTAGTGTTTTTATGTCTTTAAGATCTTCTTGTTTTTCTTTTTTTCTTTTAGTGTGTCACACAATAGTCCCAGTAAAACTTACAGCTTCTCCACCCAACACCACAGCTTTCAAATGGAGATTGACTCATAAACACACCAGTCTTTTACAACAGTCTGGCACAAAAAGGATTGTGTTTTTGAATAAGTTTATAGATTCATGCTCCTCTGGGCTTTCCCTTAAACCTTTGTATTCCATGACTTGTAAACTGCAGGACATATCTGCTTCACAGGATTTTGTGTTCAAGCAGGTTTGAAAGGCAAATTAGAGGTGATGTTTTTGCATAGCCAGGACATAGATTAAACATATTCACACAGGAAGTGTTCATAAGTTACAGGTTGGTGAATATTCAAAATTAACAGGATGACTAAAGTCTAACATTTCTTGCCACTGTCATCTCCACATATCTTCAGAAAGAAAAGAAGGATAGAAAAATAATGTGGATGAATTGTACTTGATATTTCTCCTGCTAGAACATAATGTGAAGTTAGGAAAGTCTATTTTTAGGGAAGCTGACTTGGCGTCAGTGGAAATACACACTCATTTGACTGACAAAATGTGGATGTCTAATTGCCCAGATAAGGCCCTTCAAAGTTACTTTTCAGCAGAACAATAATAGTTTAATATTCATGTTATTTTACTTCCTGTAAATGTGTACCATCCAACAGTGGGCTCATTCATAATTTGGACAAGACTGCAAAATAGGGGGCCGGGCTTTTAAGGAAAAACTTTGCGCCCTAGCAAAGTAGATCATACAGGAAACAAACCACAAGTCAAAGAGGTAAAGGAAGTAGAACTCTGAATATTTTGCACATGAAAATATTATAATTGAGGAACTTGTTTTATTTATATGCCTAAAAACAAAATACTGTTTGTTATTTACATTTAAAAGCTGTTTTAATTTATTTCATTAATAAATAAAGAAGGCAATGATTCACTTCTCATGCATGTCATTACCAGGTGGACAGCATCTTTAATTTTTATTTCCTCAATGTCCAAATAAAGACTAAGTAAACATACACTTGTGTTTGAATTTAGTTGATAAGAGGTCAATTTATGTATTTTTCAATAAATTTTCAATCTGGAGGAATCTTCCTGGTGTTTTTTAGAAGTTAATTTATTTATTCAGGAAGTCATTCAGAGTTAGCTCAATATAAAAACTGTCAAACGCAGACACATTTAAAAGTGAAATTTGGACTACATGCCTTTGTGAAATGATTTAAGATATTATAAAAGAGTGTTTTGTGGACACACCTGGTGCCTGAGAGCTTCAACCAAACAATTCACATGGTCACACAAAAAGAAAATTAAACACAAAAAAATTAACTGCTTTGTTGGGT